GATACAGTTGGTAAAGTTAATAGTTTGTCATTTTTGCTGCTTTTGCTTTAAGTAAATGACATTGTAGGTATAAAGTCTCCTCGAACTGCCATTCCCAGGTCTATACCCTTTCTCCAAAAGGAAACCATTATTCTGAGTTTGGAGTGAATTCTTCCATTAAAAAAACTTTTATGTCTATTCATATGTATCTGTAAATAATGTATACTATTTTTACATTTGACAATATATAGATGCTATACTTTTCATATCATTGTGCATCTTGTTTCTATTCACCCAACATTACATTATTTAAAATGATCCAAGTCAATATGTGTAAATCTAATTCATCCTTTTTAAACTGTTGCATAATATCCCATTATATAAACACATCATATGTCATTAATTCCCCTGTAGATAGTAGTTTAGATTGTTTCCAATATGCGGCAACTTGTAAACAATAGCACACATATCTATGTGTACACATGACAGAGTTTCTTCAGGGAACATACATAGAAATTGAATGTTCTAATTAGGTCATAGAGTGTATACATTCTAAAATGTTATTAGATGCTACTTATTTGCTCTCAGAGTGGCAGTATTTACATTTCCAATAGCTATGTGTAACAGTATCATTTACCTCAGGTCCTCACCAATGTTTTCTATTGTCCAGCCTCTTAATTTTTCCCAATCCGATGGGTGAAAACAGTTTCTCATTTTTCTTTTTATGGCTTTAAAGACCATTTGAATATCCTCTTTTGTAAATTGTCTGTTCCTATTGTTTCTCACTTTTCTGTTGGGTTGTCTTTTTCTTACAGATCATAGGAATATTTTTTTTATCATTCTGATAGATACATTATATATTGCAAATCTCTCCAGTAAATTGCCTGCCTTTAAATCTTGCTTATGGCATATTTTGCAGTAGTCAAGATGCAATTTCAATAAAGTTAAATAAATCTACTTTTTTAAGTTATAGGTTATTCTTGTTGTGTCTTTCTTGTTTGAGAAATCTTTCTCTATCCTAGGCTACGAAAAAAATATTTCCCCCTAATTGTTTTTCATGTTTAGGTCACTAAAGTATCTACAGTTTATTTTTGTGAGTGACGTGTCACAGCTGTATTATTCAATAGCCTTTCTTTCCCCTGGTGATTCCTGGTGATATCTTGAACGTGTCCAATGTTCCCATATATGAATGTGTTCCTCAGCTCTCTGTTCTACTTTATTGGTTTATTTATCTACATCTGTGTTAATTAGGATTTAAAAAAAACAACCCCAAGGTGCTGTAACAGCATTCCAACAATCATGTGACTTAAAGAACTAAGTTTGTATTTTTGTACATAATAGTCCAAGGTGAGCTCTGCTCTGTGGAGCCATTCAGCAATCCATGTTCCTCCCAGCTTGTGGATTAATCATTCCCTGTGGAAATCTGGGCCATGGCCACATTTGGGTTCCAGTCTGAGGAAGGAAAAAGAAAGAGCATGGAGAAAACACGCCTACTGTTTTAAGAATTATAGCCCACAAGAGGGACACAGCACTTCAGTTCATACTCCATTGGTATGACTCATAGCCTCGGCTCCCTGCAAAAAGGACTGGGAAATACAGTGCCCAGCCAGGTAGCTGTGTGCCTAACTACCCTTCTATTATCATGCAGAAAGGGAACATTGGATTTTGGTGGGCAGCTAGCAGCTCCTCACAAACCTTGGCTAGTGTCACACTATTTTAATGACTAGCCTCACTTGTTAGCAAATGGCTACCACTTAATATTGGCAAATGGCTACATGACTCCAGTGTCTTATCCTTACACACTGTTAATTAGTTATCTATTGCTGCATTATAGATTACCCCAAAAACTTAGTGGCTTAAACAGTAAACTTCCCAGTGAAGATGGCAGAGCAGAAAGATGACATCACGGAGCCTTTGAATTAACTGATTCTGCCACAGCACATCTTACTATAGAGTTAATAAATCCCCTTGTAGTTTAAGCTAATTTGAGCTGGGTTTTCTGTTGCTTAATAACTGAAAGTAACCTACCTGATACATATTTTTAGATACATGCTATCTCAGTCAGTCACGGTGAATCAAATTATGCTACATTAATAACCAGCAGAATCCCAGTAGTTTAAAACGGAAAGGCTTATTTCTCTCTTGTACTCCTGGTCCATCACAGGTTGGCTAGGAGCTCTGCCCTATGCCATGTTCACTCTAGGCCACCAGCTAATGGAGCAGCTGATACCAGAAATGTTGGTGGTTGCCATGGCAGAAACAGAGCACTGGATGGTCTTGCTCCAGTAACTAGAAGTTCCTGGAAGCTATACCGATCACTTCAGCTTCCTGGCCCCATGTAACCAGAAGGGACCAGGAAGAGCCATCCTACCCGTGCCAAAGCACTGGACATATCTGGTGAATAGCACCAATCACTATGACACATGCATTTAGTTTATAAACTTCCCTCAAAGTACTGCTTTAACTGCTCCTTACAAATAAACTTTATTCAGATGTTCTTAGTTTTTTCTGAATGTCCTGTTCCGGGTCCCATCCAAGATAGCACATTACATTCATCATCCATCTCCCTAGGCCCTGTTTGGCTGTGACAGTTTCTCTGGCTTCCCTTGTTTTTCATGACCTTGACGGTTTTAAGAAGTATTTGTCAGGTATTTTGTAGAATGTTACTCAACTGAGATTTGTCTGCTGTTTCGCTCACGATTAGGCTGGGGTTACTGAGGGGGAGACCACAGAGGTAGAGTACCATTCTCATCACATCATCCCAAGGGTACATAGTATCAACATAACTCCTCACTGTTGGTGTTGACCTTGATCACCTGGCTGAGGTCGTGCTTGTTAGACTTCTCTTTTCTCCCTTTCCATACTGTACTTTTTGGAAAGAAACATTATGCACAGGGGAGTTAGCTACAGTTCCTCAGGGAAGAGACTCTTCATAAACTCTTCGGAATTCTTCTGCACGGGAGATTTGTTTACCCTTCCTATTGTTTTCCCAGCCATTTATTCCGATCAGTGTGGGCTCCTGGATATTTATTTACTTTGGGTTGTAATCCAGTATACATTATTTATTTTGTTCTCAAATTGTCCCAGTGTGAGCCACTGGAAGCTGTCAGACATACCCCCGTCAAATATGAATCATTTTGTATTTGAGCCCTTTCTTACTTTCTGGCACTACACCTGCCCCAGCCCTAGAATCAGTCATTTCTTCAAGGAACCTGAGTTCCTTTTATTGAAGAATGTTATTAGAAACCAAGATCTGGGTGCCAGGTGTGATCATTGCCACCGGGGTCATTCTTTCTAGGCCCTCTCAGCCCGCAAAGCAAGAAAATATCTGTGTGTGTTCTAACCCAGGTAGCACACATATATAACTCTGTATGTAGCCACCTGTATTTATATTGAACTACACATATGTTCATTCTGTTGTCTCCACTGTGGCTCATTCTAGCCTTGACCCCTGGCTTACCTATAACCTTCCACCACACCAATAAGAAGCCTGGCTTCTATCCATTTACTTCAATGTTCAATTCTGTTATACATGTACAGTGGTTCAGAATTGTGAACCCTTTTATTATCATTTAATTCTAAGTAATTAATATTCATCGATTCACTCTTTAACCATGAATTGTTTCGAGGTTTGGCTTTTAGTTTCAAAACATAGGTCTTGTTAGATCTCTTTCTGCGGTTGATTTCTATTTTCCTTACACTGTGGTCTGAAAATATGTCCTGTATAATGTTGATTCTCTGGTATGCTTTGAGACTTCCTCTGTGATTTAATGCATGCTCAATTTTGGTAACAGTAACATGTGATTGCAAAAAATAAATAAATAAATTTTGGTACATCTACTCTGTGCCATTAAAAACGTCATTATGAAAATGTAGAAAGTATACAAACGTTTGAGATAATGTGAAATGAAATAAAAAGGACACTAAACCCATGCAGCGTTTGCAGCAATGTAAACTACTCGGGCATAAAAACAGAGACTGGAGAAGGATAAGCAAAAATGAAAATAAGTATCCATGTAGAGTGGTGGGATTCTAGGTAATTTTTTTTTCTCTTCTCAAAACTGTATTTAATGTTGTTTCATTGTTTCTGTACTTTGTAAAACTTTCAAAAAGGTATCCCAGAAAACGTTGGTTTGATAAGTTAACAAAGGAACACAAAGTATTTAATTCTACAGACATTTTTGGAGCCCTTGCTATGCGTTGGGCACGTCAAGGTCACCTTCTTCTGAGACTCTTAGATTGAAAGGGGCAGGCTAGGCACAAGAATTTCTAGACAAGGCAGGTAGCAAGGGGTCCCAAAGAGCTCCAGACCTGAGACAGCTGGAAGACAGGACTGGGAGGCATTGGTTTAGATTCAGCAGGGAGGAGGGGGTATGCAGTGTCCTTGTGGGTGTGATGGGAACTATAGAGGATCTCAAGGGTCCCTGTGTGGACACACGCAACGGGGAGACCTTGAATATTAACAAAATCTGATGTTTGTATAAGACTTTATAACTTACAGAGTCTCCCAGCACACACACACAATCTCATTGCTATTTACCTATCTCTGTGCTATTTACCTTGTGAGGTAGATATTACTATTTTTATACCATTTTTTACAGAGTTGGAAACTGAGGTTCAGAGAGAGGGAAGCAACTTGTCCAAGGTTACACAACCAGTAAGTGACAGAGTCAGGACTCAAACACTGGTGTCCTAGCTCCATGTAGAGGCTCCTTTAGGTAAAACCCTCTTAGAAAAGAACTCCTTTGCCATGCACTTAGAAAGAGCCACAAAAATGGCACAACAGCCCTAGCCGGTTTGGCTCAGTGGATAGACGTCGGCCTATCAGCGGTTGCCAACCTTTCAGACCTCTGGTGGTCCGTGGACCACTGGTTGGTGACCGCTGGACTAAAGGGTCCGGGTTCGATTCCGGTCAAGGGCACATGCCCAGGTTGCGGGCTCAATTCCCAGTAGGGGGCGTGCAGGAGGCAGCCAATCAATGATTCTCTCTCATCATTGACGTTTCTATCTCTTTCTCTCTGAAATCAATTAAAAAATATTTTTTAAAAATGGCTCAGCAAGGCCATCCCACTCAGCAAAAAGGAATATTATCAAATGTCCTCTAAAGGAGGAGCTGCTGTGAAAAGAGAAAATGAGTACCAGCTGCCATTCTGGTCCAATTGAGAGAGAAAAAAATACAGTGTAGAAATGCTGGTATATCAACACCATTAAAATGATTATTTAAAAGATCATTAAAAAAAAAAGATCATGAGCCTTGAAAAATGAAAAAGTTGCCCAGAAGAAGAGCATTCCAAGCTGAGGGGAGAGAAATGAGCTGGAGGCCTTGCAGGCACTGAGCGCTGGTGGTGTGGCCGGGAGCAGGCAGGCTGTGGTAGGGGTGAGGTAGGTAGGGGCCAGTTTACAAATAAATAAAGCAGAAATGAATACAGGTTAATAATAACCAAATCGTGTTACAAGCGCCAACGATCCCTCCAGACACCCCCCTCCCCTAAAGCTGGTGCAGCAGAGACTTCATCCTAAACAGATCTGAAGTCTGAGAGACTGGCCTCTGCCCCAGTTCACGGGTGGGGTGATCCTATCAAGATGCTGAGTCCAAGGGAGATCGTGGCTGGAAGGCTGCCTCATCACAGGTGTGCACAGCTGCCAGCGCCCCGCTTCTGTCCTTGGGGTTTCCCGGTGGAGGGCCACTATAGCGCTGTCAGTTCCAGCTGCAGTTTGCAGTGTGTAGATGCCTGGGTGTGAATCTGGCCACTCTCTGTTAGCTGTCCCTGGGCCAGCTGCAACTCTGGGTGCCTCTGTGTTTGCATCCGTGAAAATGGGGGCAACCACGAGATGCACCTCAGGGGGCGGAGCCGGGGTGGGGAGGCTTTAAATAGGAGAATAACTCATCTTAAGCACTTGGCTTTGAGCTTGGAACGGATAAGTACTCAATAAACGTGCAGCCAATTTCTGCTCCACTACCGAGGTGGGTAAATGATAACCAGGACGGTGGTCCGTAACCTCTGGGGAGGGCCTTTGTGTGTGTGTGGGGGGGGGGGCGCCCTCCCTCCCTGCAGCCTCACCCTCCGGCCTGGCCAAGGGCAGTGCCAAGGGCGGCTGCTGAGGGAGCAGCTGCCTGGCAAGCACCACCCCCACCCCGTCATCTGACGGATCCTTCTGAGCATTCAACTTCATTTCCACTTCAATTTTATCAGCGGGGGCCGGGGGCTGTGCAGGAGATAGGAGGCCGGCCCTGACATGAATTAGCCCCGAGATTGTCCGATATGCTATGCTCCCAGCCTGGGCTCCAGTGCCAGCGCTAGCCGCCCTGCCTCTCCTTTGTGTCGCTGGTCTCTTTGGTCCTCACGGCTCCATTCCGGTTGCGCTGCCCAGGACTAGGGAGCTCCTTTGCATTTGGCCATGTTTACCAGACCGAGGCTGGCTGTGCAGGGCTCCTACCCCCCAGGGCCAGGCAAAGTCACCCTGGGGCCACCCCCAGTGGGGGCCTGGCTGCTCCTCCTCCCCCAGCCCCTCTCACTTTCCCACAGCCCAGGATCTAAGGAAGCACTTTGGTCAGGATGTCCCTGTGCAACGCTGAAACGCCACCCCATGTAATCTTTCCAGGAAATCTGAGAAATGAGATTGAGAAAGGGAAACTGAGGCTCAGAGAGGCCGAGATACTCACCCGAGGTCACACTGCATGTTGGTGGTCTGGCCTGGATTTGGGCTCGAATCTGTTCATCCCAGAGCCTTGGTGAGGAGTGGGTCTGGCATGCATACACATCAGTATGTTGCCCCTTTTCCTACTCTGTAAGTTGAGAGAATGAGTTATTCCCCAAATTTATTACAAAAAAGGAGGCCATGTAAGATGGGAGTAAGAGAGGTGCTAGGAGTTTCCAAAGAGGGGAGGGGAATGGCTTCCTCCCACTCCTTCAGCCCCTGCGTGCCCCGCACCGCGACACCCCCTCCAAGACGCCACCCTCACTGTAGGCTTGATGCAGAGAAGACATTTTGCGATGTTCCAGCTAGACTAAGGGCAGAGGCCAAGAAACTGGCTGTGGAACCCAGGGGGTCTCCCAGCCGCTCGCCAGATCCCGGAAGAAGGGAGTCTATCTAGCCCGGCCCAGCTCCTCACCTCCGTTTCCGGGGTGCTGCTGGGGAAAATTTATGTCCCTCTCAGGTTTGGGAACCGATCCCACACTAAAAAGAAAGAAGAGAGAGAGAGAAAGAAATTATTTTAAATTTTTTTTAGGTCCAGAAATGAAGCAGAAGTGAGTAAATTTTAATGAAACGGTGCAAAAATGACATCATTTACTCAGAAATCATTAATTTGTCAGCATTAATATTTCAGCTACAACATTGCCTGTCATTTTGTGCCTGCAATGACTGATAAATCTATAAAAGCGTGCTGCTAATTTACTGAATATTTATGTGCAGTGTCATTTGCAGAGTAAGAATGGAATTTATTTCGTGCCGAGTTCTGCGGGAGAACATTCCCCACAAACCTTCACCCTGGTGGGTGGGGGAGGGCAGGGGGAGACTCCAAACTTCCTGGAAAACTGGTGACAGGACAAAGACAAAGGGCGCCCCGGGCTCAGGCCCCAGCTCCGGTGGCCTGGGAGGGGACCACCTCGCTTTTGCTCACTTTGTAAGGCCCTTCTCACCCCCCCCCCCCCCCCCCCGTCTTGGCAAATCCACATTAGCCCTCTCCCCCCCAGTCCTCCTCAGTGTGTCTGCTCTCAGGGAGGCACCTGGATGCCACTGCCCCTGCAGGGCAGTGGGTGGGCCTGCTGCTCAGTGGGTGTGGGGCGGGCCCTGTGCAGAGTTGATGGATGGCAGGTGGGCTCCGGGTCCCAGGCCGGTGATCAGGAGAGGGGGTCAGAGAAGAGGTTAAGTGCTGGAGAGGGGAGCCAGGCAGCCTGAATTCCCAGTCTGGCTCTGTGAATGGTCTTAGGAATCTGGGTCTCAGTTTCCTCACCTGGAACATGGGCACGCTGCTTGTCCTTGTTCCTAGAGGCTGAGGATTGGCCGCTCTAACGCATGTAAAGATAAAGCAGAGGACTTGGGAAACAGCATCTGCTGCCGTTTTTGAAGGAATCGCTGCCACCGTCGCTGCTCCTGGAGTGTCCCTTTCCTGGGGCTCGGAGACCCCATCCCCACATTCCTGAGAGGAACGGGAGCCCTGGACCAGGCTCCTTGCTCCCCTACATGGGTCTACCTCCCAGCATCCCCTCTCTCCACTCTGCTCATTGCCACATGCTTGAGGGGCCAGAGTCCTGGGGAATCTTTCCGGAAGCAGCTTCCTGGAGCACCAGCTGGTGGCTCCCGGGCCAGGGAGGGGGAAAAGAATGCCTGTCCTGAGAAATGCCTCCATTTCACAGAGGGCAAAGTCAAGGCTCTGCGAGGGTACCAGAGCCTGAGGGCCCCTCGCCCTCATGTCCCCATCCCCGTCCCCCATCCCAACAAGAGCACAAATCACAAGCCTTCAAGTTTTGCACCATTTTGCTCAATTTCCTGCCTGAATGGCACAGGGCCTGACCCTCTGCAGGTGCTCAGGAAATGTTCGTGGAATCAATAAGGAACAGCTAAATCTCCCATCTTCGGAGAGCTCTTTGTCTCCTCCCCCCCCCCCCCCCCCCCCCCCCGCTCCCCGCACTCCATCAGGGACCGATTCCAGTGGCATCCTCCTCCTAATGCCTCTCAGATTGTTCCTGTTTCTTCTTTGTCACTGCCCCTGCCCCCGGTCCCCGCAGAGTCCTCCGGGAATGCTTACCTGGACCGTGGCGATGGTCTGCTCATGGGTCTCCCTGCCTCCACGTCCCCCTCAGCACAGCTTTCTGATGCCACTGCCCGATTCCAGGAGCTCCAGCGGCTCCCACTGTCAGGGAAATGGCATCGGCGTGCCCTTCCAGGTCCATCATGCCCTGCCCCTCTCCTTTGCTCTGGGACCCCCCTCCCCCCACCACACACACACTATTTCACATTCTTGCCCATGCTTTTCCGTCTCCAAGCCTTTGTTGTCCCTTTCGCTGGGTATCCCTCCATTCCTCACAGCCGAACCCAATCTGTCCTCCAAGGACCATCGCAGCCCCTCTAGGAAGCTTCCTGTTTCCCCTCAGAGCGGCGGGGGGGGGGGGGGGGGGGCATTGTCTGAATTCAGGGGAGAACCCTGGACAGGTGGTCAGGGACCTGGGCTCTCTCTCACAGCCTAGCACCGTGTGGCCGTGACCTTGCCGTGCTCTGTCTATGGAATGGGATGGTCCGGGTCTCTGTGGTCCAGACCGAGTCTGTCGCGTTCACGACGGCATCCTGGCAACAAGCATAGAGCCAGGCTTACAGCCTTTGCTCCGTAAATGCTCACTGAATGGCCTCCACGTCCGGGTTCTGAGGGTCTGTGGCTCGTCTTGTGCAGGCAGACCTTTGGGGCTCCCCAAGGGGCGGGCAGAGGGGACGCTGTGGTGCGGACACTTGCACATAAATGTTGTTACTTACTCTCCAAGCTGCCCTGCGGGCTGGGCTTTCCCGACCCTGTTTTACAGATGAGGAAGGTGAAGGTTGAGTGACCTGCCAGGCCTCTCACCCAGGCCCTGGGCTCCAAATCCAGTGCCTCCCTGCTCTGCTCAAGTGCATCCCTGTGCTCCTAGAATCAACCCCGAGTCCTTTGTGGCCTGCGAGGCCCTGCCTGATCAGGCCCAGGGCCTCTCCAACTTGACCCTCCCCCTCAGGGAGAGCCCTCTGCTCCTTCAACTCACGGAGCTCAATCCCACCTCTGGGCCTTGGACTCGCTGTTCCCTCTGCCTGAAAGGTTCTTCCTTGTCATCCATGCCACCTGCTCAGAGAGATCTTCCTTGCCCACCCAAACCAAGATACGTGTTTCGTGTCCCTCACGCTCTGCCTGCGATGTCTCACACGTCTGTGCCCGTTCATCGCCCGTGTCTTCCACGGGGGCAGGGGCCTCGCTGCCCTGCTCATCCCTGTGGCCCAGCACCTGGCTAGGAGTGGCTGCTGTGAGGTAGGCCTGTGCTTTGTGGCTCTGGGGCAGGTGGAGAGGGAGGGTGGTTGGGGGCAGGGATGTGGTAGGTTGGGGACCCCAGGAGTAGAAGGTGCAGCCTGCTCCCAGAAGCTGGATCTAAGAGAGGCTGAAGCTGGGAGGTGCCGCCCCCCTTGTCCTCACCCCTCCCCACCCTGCCATGCCTCACACTCATTTCCTTCCTGGAGTCCGTCTCATTTGCTTTCCCTAAAAGCCGCTGAAGGAGCCAATATGTACGTGATGAATATTTCATCTCCTGAGCGTGGGTTTGCAGGAGAGCTGTGATCACTGGGGAGGGAGCGCTGCCCCGCAGCCTGGGAAGGAGGGGCCTGAGGACGCCGGTGATAGGGTCTCAGAGATGCAGGCCCAGGGCCCACCCCCTACCTCTGCAGATACCCTTGGCATTAGGAGGCTCAGGACCGGTGGGGAAGCCCCGAATCTGGGTACAGATACTCTGTGTTCTCAGGGGCTCTTAGCTCTTCCTTGAGGTTCAGCTCTGGCGAGGGGCAGACTTTGCCATTAGCTCAGAGGCTCAAGTTGCCCATGGCCATGGGCATGGTGATGGCTGAAGATGTGGAGTCTGTCCTGGTCGTTATCTATAACGGCTTCTTAGCTAGGGTCCTGAGAATTATCTTACCCCAGGGATGGAGGTTGGGAAACTGCAGTCTGAGAAAGGAGTGGGTACAGAGGAGGTACTGAAGGGCAAGGAGTGTGAGTAGTCAGTCCCTCCTAACCTCTCCATCATGCTCTCTGCTCCCCCGTCACCATGGCCACAGCATCCTCCTCACAAAGATGGTCCAACAGCATCCTCACGGGGATGGTCCAGCTGAGCTTCTCTAGCTCTGCAGTCGGGCGGTCCTGGCTGCCAGTCCTCTATTCCTTTGCCAGTTGAGTGACCTCTGACCCTCTCTGAGCCTCAGTTTCCCTGTCTGAAAAATGGTGTTGGTCTCACCTCCTGGCAGGGTGATTCCGAGGGGCCAGCAGAGTGCCTGGCACATAATAAAGACTCAAAAGATTTAGTGTTTGCACCCCCCCACACACACACACACACATACACACACCACACTCAAAGCACCACCACTGCCGTTCCTCTAGCGTCCACCTCCGGGTGGAAAACAAAGGACCGCTCGTTCCTTCCTCTTTGACCCAGGTTCTCGCTCCTCTCCCTGCACCTGTCTGCCCCTTGCTGCCCAGCCCACTCCACAGCCTTGAGCCTCTGCTAAGGAATTGGGGTGGCAGAGGGAAGGAAGGCACCTGCTCCCTGGGCCTCAAGTTGCCCTGGATCCAGATGACCCCTGGCCGTGAATCCCGTGCCCCCAGCCCCAAATCTCTGTAGCCAGCCCCTGTCCCTCCCCCACTGGCCAGGAGCAGTCCCCTCGCTCTCATCCCCACCCACCACATTACCCTCTGAATACTCTCATTATACCATTACTAATTAGGGCTGCTCAGCAAATTGGCGGCTGCATTAGAGGGAGACAGTGTGCGGGAGCATATGGCATAATATCGTATTAATGAACACTCTAAATTCAAACCCGGGTCAGCTGCTCGCTTCTCACCGGTGTCACCCACGCTAACGGGAGGGAGGGGAAAAAGGCACTCAACCTTTCCCTCGCTTTCCTTGCCTCTCTCCAAACACACATTCCCCGGCATGGGCTGGGCCGGCAGAGGTGTTGTTATCATATCCTGGGAATGGAGAGAGGATAAGAGAGTCTGGGCCTCCCTGGAGGCTGCAGAAGGACCTCCCCTCCCTGCTCATGTACAGTAGACACTTAGCACGGTCGGGAAAGTAATTATTAATAATAATCACACCAGGGCCTGGAGCCAGACTTTTTGCCCAGATATTCTCTGCCTCCCAATCTCCCTTGGAGAGGGTGTTAGCACAGAGGGGCCAGCTGAGGACCACAGAGGTGGGGGTGTAGGGGGGTAAGGGGGCTTTCTCAAGGACACAGGATGGTGGAGCTGGAGGGCCCAACTCATCTCTCTGCTTTTGAAAGCACATTTTTCCCACTCTGTCCAGGGGGAGGGAAGCTCAAGGAAATCCCAGCACAGGACCCTTCCCCACCCCTGCCAGCCCCGCTCCCAGTCTAATAGCACCCATACACCCACAGAGCACCAAGGTCTCTGGTTTTACCTGGAAGTGGGGGTATCTGGGAGGTCCCCCCATGAATTCAGAGACAGCACTCAGACAGGCTTCTTTATCTTCAAATTCCCAGGGTGATGCTGGGGGGTCCATCACCCCAAACAGATTGAGAATTGGGCTTGTCCATTCCAACTGGCAACCCGGGGGGAGTGGGGACAAAAAGCCTTGCTTTTCTTCTCTCTCCCTCGCCTCGCTCCCCAGGTCCTCAGAGGAGTGCAGAATGACGACTTCACATCTGGTCTGTAGTCTTGGAGGCAGGTGCTCTCCTGCCCCCCTAAATCTGGGCAGGAGGTGAGGGAGGGGCATTTACAAGTGGGGCCGGGTTGGGGTCAGCCTGACGAGGCTTTGAAGAAGAGATGAGCTCCAGCCCTAACCGGTTTGGCTCAGTAGATAGAGCATCGGCCTGCAGACCAAAGGGTCCTGGGTTTGATTCCAGTCAAGGGCATGTACCTTGGTTTCAGGCTCCTCCTGAGAGGAGTGCATGCAGGAGGCAACCAATCAATGTGTTTCTCTCACATCATTATTTCTCTGTCTTTACCTCTCGCACTCTCTCTAAAAATCAATGGGAAAATGTCCTCAGGTGAGGATTAAGAAAAAAAAATAGTGAGCTCTTACCGTCTCCGGAGCGGAATGGAAAGACCTGAACTAAAAAAAGCAACAAAACACAACAGTTTGTGCCTCCGTGGGGGCTGCATGGGCCAAACTTGTCTCTATCAAACCCGTCTCCAGGGGTTTGGAGGGGCAGTGCCCACTGATGGCCGGCCCAAGGTGCCCTAACTCCTACCCAGGTGTGCGTCCCAAACCATCCGTCTTGTTGTCTGATGATATCAATGATCCCCTAACAGCAGCCGGTTCCCGGGCTCATAATTCCTCATTTCACCTCAAAACGAAGGGCTATTCCACTCCTGCCGCCTGCTGAGCCCAGAGACTGGAGTTGGGGGAAGGGCTGGTCTGCTCAGCTGGTCTCCCAGCTCTGCCCAGGTTGGTCCTTGCCCTGCTCAGGGCACCCTTGACTTTGGCCTTCGCTGGAAAGTTGACCAAGAGCTCTTGGCATCTCAGTGTCTTAGAGACTCATTTTGTGTGTTGTCTCCAGTTGAAGACCGTCTGTCTCAGAGATGGGAGGGGTGGGAGAGCCTGACCAGATTCCAAACTAAACCACACAACCACTCCTTCCTCTGCCCTCCCACCCCCACATGGGGGGCTCAGTGCCCTAGGAGACATCCTCTCTGTGTCAACTCCAGATGAGTCACCATGCAGACCTCTTCTGGCACCTTCTCTGGCCTCTGTCTTTGTGAATTCAGTTCCTGACACCCTACCTGTCTCCCTCACCCAGGCTGTGACTATCAGATGTTTCTGGTGCATGAGAGGGTTTATTAGGACACGTTGTTCGGGGCACCCTTGTTAGAGCATTGGAGGACCCTCCTCTCCCCATTCTGACAGGGACGTGGGGTTGCCATCCACCTCTGGGTGTATGGGATAGGTATGGGGGAGGGGTTAGGGGTAGTGGGCTGCTGACGGCCTTCAAGGGCCCCTGTCTGGAATCAGAGAGAAGTCACCTGAGCTTTAATGTCCTTGGTGCTGCAGGACCCCAGAAGTGAGTGCCTTCTCTGTTTACTTTTCCATCTGTGAAATGGGTGTATTCAAATAGCTTAGCCAGAATGGAGGGATGCTTCTGTGAGAGACCCATCAGCAGAGGCACGAGGCCCTGGCCAACCTGAGCATCACCCTTCTCCTCCCCAGTCAGCTCCATGGGAAAAAAAGAGCAGCCTAGACAAGCTCTGTCCCTCCCCTGGGCTGTTGCATAAGGGTGGACACTGGGGATACCCCTACACTGCTGCCCCAGACTAAAGGCTGTGGGGCCTTAGCAGTACCAACAGGAGGTGCGAAAGCTCCCCTTCCCCACAGACCTGCAGCCCCTGGCCCAGGACAGTCCTCGTGCACATTCTGCACGAGGCCCCCCCCCCCCCCTACCTGCTGCCCGGGCCCACGTCTGCTGCTCTCCTGTCCCTGAGCTCTGTCCCGCTGCCACACGCCCCTGTGGCCGTAGGATCATTTTCCTTTGTCCCTAGAACCTGGAGATTCTTGCCTTGCTCCCTGTAGCTCTCCCAGCAACAGAGCCCAGGAGGAGTAAATAATTGTTGTCCCTCCCAGCCCTGACCTACCTGGCGGAACGGGGAGAGGGGGTGTCATCAAGCTGTGGATGCCAATTACTTTATATGCCCCCAAACCATAACCACCACCAACCTCTCCGTTCCCGCAGCTGGAGCCCCTCACTCCCTAGAAGGGGAGTAAACAAGCCCAGGAAAGGTGTTGGCTGCTCTCTGGGTTTCAGAAACAGCTTGTCAGGACTTGCCTGGGTGTAGGGACCACCCCCCACCTCTCTCCAGAGGCAATAATGCAGCTCTATGGTGAGGCTTCAGCTGTGTATGCGTGTGTGTGTGTGTGTGTGTGTGTGTGTGTGTGTGAGAGAGAGAGAGAGAGAGAGAGAGAGAGAGAGAGAGAGACACCAAGGTTCCAAGGAGGTTGGGCCTCTTCCCTGATGAGCAGTGGCTGGGCCAGAGGACGCTGAGGGTCCTCTCCTTGGAAACCTGAACGTGGGACCAGGAGAGGTGAGGTGACTTGCCCAGGGGACAGAGCCAGCAGGACACAGCCTCAGGTCTGGGTAAAGTGTGCTTTCCACAGGGGACCCCTGTAGCTAGAGTTTTGTCTAGGGACACCCTAAACAACAGAACCCCAAACTCATAGTTTGCACACAGTCTTGTCCCACTGGCCCTGTGCCAAGGGCAAGAACAGGACTGACATCCAAGGGAGAAGCTGCCCAGCGCTGAGGCCCTGTGGATTTCAGAAGAGGGCAGGGGCCAGGGTTTCCCCCGGGGGCGAGGGGCGTGGGGGGGGGAGGAGGAGTGCTTCTTCAGCATAGCCATGTGTCTTGTAGAAGGCACAGGTCATGCAGGTGTCATCCGCTTCCACGGGTGCATCACGTGTATGCAGGGAAAGCCTGTACTGGGTGTCCCTCAGGTGCACAGGCTGCACGTACACCTGTGTGTGCCCTCAGCCCGAGAACAGGGTGGGCAGGTTTAGCCTTCCCCATCCGTGCTGCCCCCACAGGTGCCCTGGCCTCTGTTATGGAGGGCACGTTCCTATCCTCGGGCATTCTGCTTTGGAATTCAGGCCCTTGCCAGCCTGTTCCCTGCTTGCTAACTATAAACTATCTGATTTATATTCATTAACCAGTACTAGACAGCGGCAGGCGCAGCAAACTTCAGTGGGGGACATGCCTCCATCGACAGGCGGACTGCATTTCAGTTAATTAAGGGGCTGTAATTGTTGTCCAGGACAAGGGTCCCCAGGGCACAGACTTTGTAAATAACTACCCTCCACTGCCCCCTGCTCGCACCCCCTCCTCCCTCCTTCCATCCCTCCCTCCCAGGCCTCAGAAGCCAGGTAAAGGGAGCTGGGGCAGGAAAGAAGACTGTGTATAGTTGGGGGGAGTGGTTGAGCACCTGGATGTGGGGGTGCCCCTCCTACATCCCTTCCCCAGAAAGGCCACATTCCAGGGCCCGAGGTAGGCTGGGGGTAGTCCTAGGCAGAGCATGATGGGACCGGGTCATAGAAACCTGGATTTTACTGCTCACACTGGCTCAGTGCGGGAAGGCAGGACCTGTCTGCACAGGACCACTGGTGTGAGGACCACATATGTATCCACCCCCTCCCCCAGGCCCCGTTATTTATGCTGTGTCCCCTCGTCTGCCTATGTGCCCACCCTGTGAACTCAACCATGAATCCTAGGCAGTGGACAGGCTTGCTGGCATCTGTTGGGCATTGGGGGACTTCAGGGGCTCCAGGAAAAGCTAAACAAAAAGGCGGTGGCATCTCACCAGCCCAGGCAAGTAGAGGAGGCACTCCCTCTGGAGCTCAGAGGGTTCCAGTCCGATGGAGGAACAGGAGTTCCGTCCAGGGGCTCCCACTCTGACAGGGCGGGGCTCCTCCTCTCAAGCAGTTCTTGGTCTGATATCGAGCGGGGTGTAGGGGGTCGCCTGGGAGGACCAAAGTCTGATGAGGGAGGTACATGCTAAAGGCAGCTGAGCAACCAGTGTATACAGGTGTGTTGGGCAGGTGAGTGAGTCCCTGAGAATGTGGCAGCGGGAGAGACCTCCTGGGAGAGGGGAGTCTTGAGCCAAAGTTCGAATGAAAGGATGTCGTGAGCAGATGAGCTTTGCTGGAGGCATGTCTCGTCCACCTCTTCTTCACACAGATGTTTCCAGGTGCCACTCTGTGCCAGGGATAAGATGGCATATAAGACCTGCATGTTCCCTTCCCTCCCAGAGAATAAAGGGTGGGAATAGTGGGCTGCTGTGTGTGTGTGCAGGTCATGTGCTTGCATATGCATGTGCTCTTTGTGCATAGTTTCCAAATATCTGTCCAGTGCCTGCTACATTTCAAATGCCCCGTGGGGCGCAGGAAAAAACCATGAACAAGACAGAGCGTTTTCGTCCATGGAACTCACATCGGCCCGTGTATGTGTGTGCAGGTGGGCACGCAGTACTTGTTCCTGGCCCCCAAACCGAACTTCCTTCTGCCCACTCAAGACGTCAGCCAGGACTCATGCGACTTTGTAACCATCCCTGGAATCATTCTCCTGGGAGGTTTGAACCTGTGACTGCTGCTCCCACCTCACCACCTACCCCCTGCTGTGGGCCCAGGGAAGCCACACCCGTTTTGTTTTCAGCTGCCCTTGAATCACCGAATAATCACCCTAAGCTAAATAAGACTTGATTTTTGTTACCCTCACTTGCAGCTTAGGATTCTCTGTGCCCATCCTCCACGCTCCCCGAACCCCTCAGCAGGAATCTCAGGGTTGGCCACAACCTTTAAGGTGACTTGTTGTGATAAGATGTTCCTGGGACTCACTATTTAACTTGGTTCTATCTGAATAGAGTTCAGCAAAGAAGAGAAAATAAGTTTCCATGTCCCTCCCTTCCCCTAATCCCCCCACCCCATTTCCACCTATCAGCCCTTATCTGAAAGAAAAATTAGAGAGTTATTAGGAGTTTTATTAGGGGTGAGCAGGTTGGTAATGAAATTACATTTCAGCTCCTTCTCGGCCCCTGTAAGTATTAAGTGGTTTGATCAATGATGTTCACACAATTAATTCTGCCTGATTGCCGAGAGTGGCTGTATCGACAGTTGGGTTTCACGCCTCGAACTTTGTCTCTTAGCCAAAACGTGCCTTCAGGAAGCCGGGAGGGCGAGGGTGGGGCTGCCTGTCAGCGAAGGCCTTTGCTGAATGCCACGTTCAAGCTCGTGCAGATGGTTTTCTATTTTGTCTTTAAGCTTCAAAGAAATTGAGGTATCACACCAGAATTAAATGATTACACTCTAGACCAGGAGAGGGGAGATATGGACCAGCATTCCGTGAGCACCCCGGCC